AGAAAGAATATTAGCATACTTGAAGAGATGCCCGGGTAGAGGTATACTGTTCAAGAACAATGACCACATGAAGGTGGATGTCTATACGGATGCCGATTGGGCTGGGAGTGTTGATGACAGAAGGTTTACCTCTGGATATTGTGCCCTTGTGGGAGGTAACCTTGTCTCTTGGAGGAGTAAAAAACAGAGTGTTGTCTCCCGATCTAGTGCTGAAGTTGAATACAGGTCAATGGCTAACGGAGTGGTTGAAATTCTATGGCTGAGATCACTACTTGAGGAGTTGGGTATCGAGTATGAGAAGCCCCTGATGCTGTATTGTGATAATCAAGCGGCTATTAATATAGCACACAATCCGGTGCAGCATGACAGAACTAAGCATATTGAAGTTGATCGACATTTTGTATGAGAGAGGGTCTCATCACAAGAAGTGTGTCTCCCGTACATCACATCCAACATGCAACTAGTAGATATCCTCACCAAAGCTGTACCAAGGAAGAAGCTAGAGGCGGATCTATCCAAGTTGGGAATGATAAACATTTATTCCCAACCTGAGGGGGAGTGTAGAGAACACTGATGTGGGCCCCACAGCTATGGTCCCACTGTGTTCGTAGGGTAGAATGTGTTCTAGTCTTCCTAGGGTTAGCTGGTGGTCAGTTGGTTATTTCAGTTTTATTTTGTTCTTTTTGTTATGTAAATACTAAGGGCAGGTCTGTCCTTTCCATGTAATGAGCATAACCTATAAATACTAAATAAGAGTGGCGGTGGTAGAACATTCAAATTCTGTCCCTCCTTTCAACCCTTTGTGTTCTACTGTTCTCTCTTCTCTTTCTCTTCTCTTCTCTACACTTTCCTTCTATTTTCGAACCTGAAATCTATTAGGGTTCAAGGCTGATAGCAGTCTTGAACTTCTACTGCCTTCACATAGAAAGGGCATTGTTGTTTTGATCCCATTAGTGGCACCCGATTTGTTTCCATGGATGTCACCTTTGTAGAGTCAGTTCCTTTTTATAATCGTCCTTCTAAGGGGGAGAGATCTCTTAAGTTGGTTTCTTCATCTCTTCCTTTCCCAACTCTAGTTGAGTCTTGTGTCAATCCCTCCACAGTTACCCCCATTCCTATGGAAGGATCCTTTCCTTTGAGGTCTTCCATTCCTACTCCCCCTCCTCCTGCTAGTCCTCTAGTTTTTATCACTCATCTTGTTTTCCAGAGGTGGTACTAGCAGCAAAGGCTAAGGCAAACACAGGTTGATCCCACACCTCCAGTTGAGTCTCAAGCGCTTCCATTTACTGAAGAGAGGACATGCCCATCACCTTCACCGCCAGCACCCTTGTTTCCAGACCTTGACCTACTCATTGCTTTGAGAAAAGATAAGAGGAAATGTACAACTCATTGTATTTCCAAACACTTTTCCTACAGCTTGTTGTCCCCATCCTACTATGCCTTTCTAGCCTCCATTTCCTCTCAACCCATCCCAAAGTTTGTTTCAGAAGCCTTAGCCACACCAGATGGAGGGATGCTATAAGGATTCAAATAGAAGCCTTTCATAAAAACAATACTTGGGATATTGTTGACTTGTCAGTTGGGAAGGAACCTATTGGGTGCAAGTGAGTTTTCACTATCAAGTATCGTGCAGATGGGTCAATTGAGAGGTATAAGACTCACATTGTTGCTAAGGGATATACACAAGTATATGGGATAGATTACACTGAGACCTTTTCTCTAGTTGCTAAAATGACTTTGGTGAGAGTTCATTTATCCTTAGTAGTGAGATATGATTGGCCTCTGTATTAATTTGATGTTAAGAATGCTTTCATGAATGGTGATCTCACTGAAGAAGTATATGTCCCTTCCTCCTGATAAATATGGCAAGGAGATGCAAGGTAAGGTGTGTAGATTGAAGAAATCACTTTATGGCCTACAATCTCCACGTGCTTGGTTTGATTGGTTTAGGGCTGCTTTTGTTTAGTTCAGCTACACTCAGACTCAATTAAATCATTTTGTTAAGAGAAGAAGCACCTTGGTGGCATTCTTTATTGTTTATGTAGATGATATTGTGGTTACTGGCAGTGATATTGAAGAAGTTAGTGCTCTCAAGAAGTTTTTGAGTTATTAATTTGAGATCAAAGACTTAGGGGAGTTGCGGTATTTTCTTGGCATTGAGGTTACTAGATCCAAGGAAGGTATCTTTATTTCTCAGTGGAAGTATATGCTGGATCTTCTTACTAAGACTGGAAAACTTGGTGCTAAACCTGCCCCTACCCATATTGATGTAAATCATAAACTTTTAGCTAATGATGGAGAACTTTTAGTTGAGGCAGAGTATAGGGCTGTGGTTCATGGGATTTTTGAGTTGTTATTGGCTTAGATCTCTCCTTGATGAGATGGGTGTTTCATGTGACAAGCCACTGCTGTTGTATTGTGATAAATAGGCTGCTATTAACAGTGCTTACAACCTGGTTCAGCATGATAGAACTAAGCACATTGAGGTAAACAAACACTTTATACGGGTGAGAGTGGCTTTAGAAGAGGTGTGCCTTCCTTTTTTTTTTTTTTGATAAATAACAAAGACTTTTATTAAAGGTGTGCCTTCCTTTCATTGCATCAAAAGAGCAGCTAGCAGATTTTCTAACTAAGGGAATTCCAAAGGCAAAACTTCAACATTATGTAAGCAAGCTGGGCATGATTGACATCTATGCTCAGATTGAGGGGGAGTGTAGTGAGAATGGGCCGAATGGTCCTTGGTGCTTTTTATTTCTTTCAAGTAGTGTTTGAGGTTATTTTGTTGGTTATGGACCTTAGTTATGGGCTTTCGTTTTGTTTTCTTTAATTATTTCTTTAGTGTTGGCCGCCCCATTAAGGGCATTCAAGTAATTGTACTTAATTTTAGAATTAAGTTAATAAAAGAGATCAAGGGAGCTAGAGAGAGAGAGAGGTTCGAACTCTTCTTTTCTCTCTTCCCTTCTCTTCTTCTTCAACAACCTATTGCTGAAATCTCTTTCTTCTCCTTTCTCTTCCTTTCTTTCTTTCTTTCTTTTCCTATATTTTCTGAATTACTGCAGGTGTATTTATCAACTGTAATAAAACTAGAAATCTATGTCCCTTTTTCCTTGGTTGGGTAGGTTTTGGAGTTGGTAGCCCCAGGTGGGATCACTGATATGTTTTATCAATGAAAGCTGATTGGATTTGACATGAGAGGAATGCTGAACTGGAAAGTCCTTGTTCATCTATCCTTGTGGTGTGGGGGCTTGTGATGCAAGGAATAGCCATGTGAAGCAAAAAAAACTAAATAGCATCATCTGAAGCATTTGAAGGGTCAGGTGTTGTATGTAGCTAGCTATTGGACATAGGTTATTAAAGAGTTCCTCATGGTTTTCCTCATTGATCGACAGACAAGCATTCTGGAAATTCTTAAATTGTCTCTAATCCATTCACCCATAGAGCTCCTTCCATCCTTCTCCCTTCCTATGGGAGAGGTGACATCAACCAGTATGGCAGTTTTGTTGGAAATCCTAGGCCTGCTGGTTTGATTGGGTGTTTTCTAATCAGGAAGGCAGTACTTTATTTGCTTATAGCAGATCAATAGGGAATGCAGACATTATAAAATCCAGATGTAGTACCTCATCTCACTGGATAATGGATTAGTTTGGGAATCAGGCCCTTGACTTAGACTATTGAAGGAGATTTTGTAATGCTATTAGGTGGGGCTAAATGACTGGTAGAAGACTATGGAGGCTGGCTCGTTAGCCCAATGAGTTCAGGGACAATCTTTCATCCTTGTGAGTACAAATTAGGTGGATCTCCATAGAGAATTAGAAATGAATTTGAGTGCTGATGAGTTAGCCAGGTCAAGGCTTGGAAGCTCTTTGATTGTAGCAACAACTGTATATTGAGGATGAGGCTGCACTGCCACTGATACAATTGTGGGTAGTGTTACATTTCTTCTTGTGTACATATTTTCTTCAATAGTAATCAGTTATTTTCTAATATTAATACAAATTGTGGCTACCTTTCCAGGAGAAAAAAAAGGTCTCAAGGTCTCTTACCAAAACAAGGAACGTGCATATAGGGTGCTGTAGTCTTTAACCTTCACTATTTTTACACTGATGTCTTTTAAAAAAATATTAATGCTATTCATTTGCACTGAATATGTTTTTCTTGATTGTGTATTTAATTGTTGTCAACTAAATAAAATAGAATAGCAAATCAAGGAGAAAATAAGAAGAAGAAATAGAGAAAACACCAAGGTTTAACGTGATTTGGCTCGGTAGCCTAGATCCACTGGAAGAGAGGGAAAAATATCCACTATAAGAACAAGAGATGCATGACTGACCTCTCTACAGATTCACAACAAAATATCCACTCTCTCTCCACCCTAATCGCACACAACCAATGGCTTAAATAATAAAAAAACCTAATTATATCAGAATTTCACATAGTTCCCTCTTCCCCTCATAATACATACAAGTCCCCAAAGTTTATCAACATTACAAATATACCCCTGTAACCTCCAACAACCCAAATGGGCAAATACAACCAAATACAATATATCTCTCAACCAAGGTTCAAAGTATTGGTACGATACGTATCTTTTGGTCTCTCAACCAAATAAAATATACATATCGGGCGTATTGTATCGTATCTTTTGGTCTCGATACACCTATTTACAGGTGTTTTGGGACCCCCATTTATTTCAATAAAAAACCACTTAAAAAACATCTCCGAAAATCAAATTTTGAAAAAAAAAAACTAAAAACAATAATTAAGCGGTGAGTTTTTAGTATTGATACGCCCCTGCCGATACACGGGCGTATCGATACTTTGAACCTTGCTCTCAACAATTGTCACACGCACTTAGAATTTTCTGTCCACAATGTGAAGCCGGTTTTAGGAATGTTTTAGTCACTATATTGTTTATGAATTTTGTTAGTTTGAACTTCTAGTGGAAATGTTATGCCATATAAACTTTTTGGACAGATTGAATTCAAATGGTCATTGTGCAGATTGGGGCGCCTTGGTAGATGTCGTTGGTTTCTGTTTCCTAAACCTTGGAACCAAATATCAGCCCAAGAAAGAGTTTTCAGATTGGATTCAGAAAGGATCAAGACCTATATATATAGGATTTGGTAGCATGGTATGTCATTCCTGCAGAACTAGATCCACAATGTGATTTTATGTGAAGAAAAGATACTGTTTGTCTGTATGAAATCATTGCAAAAAGTGCTTCAGACTTCCCAAAAGGTGATTAAGATAGAACAGTAATCTCTTCTAGAAATATTAAAAGGAAAATTTTCAACAAATGGCAAAGAGGTTTTGCAAAACTGAAAACTTAAAACTTGACTAGACCAATGAGAGATTAACTAGCTGATAATAGTATAATACAATTCTAAACATGACTAAAGCTGTGAACCAATAGATTCTAGAGAAATCTGTGAACTCAGAATGCACCATGACTCTTTCCACCAGCATAGAACAAATATCAGCTGCCACTTTCCTTGTAGAAGTAATTGTTTATTGCAAAATACATCTCTTCCTTTACCGATAGAAAAGTACATCTATTCCTTTCTTTCTAGATGTCATAACGGACCAAGAAAAAGGGAATGGTTTCATTAATCATTATCACCAATAATATATTTCCTTTTTCTTACTTTTCTTTCTTTCTCAAGTTCATTCTGAGTTTTGTCATCCTCATTCTTGTTGCAAGTAAAAAACCCCTACATGTTAAGTTTGTATTCTCTTTTGCATAATAACCAACGGTCATCTGTACTAACAGTTAGCAACAATATTCATCAAATAACAACTTTAAAAATATATTAATTTCAATGTTTAAAATATAACATTGCATAGTAGTTCAATGAAGCTACTACATTAAAAAGTAAACTAATGAACAATAATAATTCAATAATTCATATGGTGAATTAGAAAAAGTTTGCAATCATAAGAAAGGTGTGTGTGTGGGGGGGGGGGGATCTGAATGGTCAAGGAAATGAACATTGCTCTGTTGGGGAAATGGTGTTGGGGGTTTGGGGAGCAGAGGGGTGGTTTGTGGAGAAGTGTGATCAAAGCTAAATATAAAGCAAGCAGTATGGGCTGTGTGCTGAGGGTTAAAAACTAATCTTATGGCTGCTTGGTGTGGAAAGGCTCAAAGGCATAGAAACAAGCTACAGTTATTTTGCCAATGAAATCAGGTACGAGGTGGGAAATGGAACCAGGGTAAAATTTTCAAGGTATGTTTGGTGTGGGACAGTCCTCTCAAGGATGCTCTTCCTTCTCTATTTGAGAGTTCCATGGATAAAGAGGCAAGGATGGCTGACTATATGCAGGTTACCAGTGGGGGGTGTGTTTGGAGTTCTCAATTCAGAAGGCCTTAAATGATTGGGAGGTGGAGCCTCTTTTAGACCTTCTGCAAAGACTGATTTACAAATGGCTCCTAATAGAGGATAGAAGGGTGTTGACAGTTGAGAAGTCGGGGCAGTTATCAGTAAAGTCTAACAGGTTGGTAAGGCATGAAAATGAATAGGTATCAGAAAAGTGTGATGCAAGAATATCCCATCATTAATCATTTAATGAAAGTTACAGTTATTGATTGGGCAAAAAAAAAATGATCTGTTGAAGAGAGGGATGCAGCTTGATTCTTTATAGTGTTCTCTGCAATGAGGAGTTGGAATGGGTAGACTAGTTGCTTCATTGCAGGTTCATGTATGACATTTGGACAGAAATTCTTAAGATTTTTTATAGTTGGATATATTGCCCTGAATCTGTGCAGACGTTCCTGGAAAGCAAGTATTTGCAAGTGATAGAGAATAAAACCCCTATTCAAGGACCTCACTTAACAGCTTAAGCTTTTAGGTTGAATGGTTCTTTGAGAGCAAGGTTTGAGTAAGAAAGGAAAAACTATATGGCAAATGATTCTAGGGGTTGTCTTTTGGGTAATATGGCAGGAGAGGAATGAAAGGTATTTCAGAGAAAGGGATGTTCAGCTGATGATGTTTGGCAGAAAATATGGGGCAAGCTACATTCCTGGTTTTCAGCACACTGAAGTTTTAACAGCTCTAATCATAGTACATTTTTTGTTTATGATAATATTTTTTGTAAACTCTAGGGGTTTGGTGGTATGGGAATTCTTTTTGTATGAAAGTATACTTTACTCATTCTCAAAAAAGAAAAAAAAAACTAATGGATATTATAAGTATTTCCATACCAAACAGCCACTAAGGTAAGTTTTCACATAATTTTCCTCAATTGAAACATTCACATAATTTGTTTAAATGATCTTAATTTAGTTTTTGAAGCATAAAAATTCCCAAAAAAGAAAAGAATCTTCAAGCATAAAACGGAAATAGGTGCAGAAAATATAAGAGTTCAGAGTTGTTAATACTTAATAATTGTTTGCTAAATCATGTTTAGTTTAATAGAATGAGTCAACCAATTAAAATATGTTGTTCATGTTTAAATGTGTCTGCCTAGCTTTTTTAGATGCTTCAATGCCTGCCTCATCACCTTGGCGTACACCTAATAGGCAGTGAGCTCATTTTCTACAATATTTGAGGCAATGCAATTAGGCAATCCCCCCAAAACCGCCTTGTTGTTTTGGGCTGACTCTTTGGTAAAACAAGTGGTTGAGAGGCTTCAAATGTTTTGGGATCAGTTTAAAGCAGTTCGGCATTGGAGATAGGCTGTTTTATCTCCACATCCAATTTGTACTTCTTTGTTTTTCTCTTTTAAACTTTAATAAATGTTACAGTTACTGATAAAAAATTGCCAAGTTGCTTATGTGCTGTGACTCATATGGCAGTTTTGAATTCTATTGGTGCCTCTTCTGTCCTACCTTGAAAGTTTCCCTAAAATTTTGAAATTTCTCCATTTGGCTTCTTCTTTTGATAATACATCATGCAGATAGGTATTGATAGGTTAATATTGCTGCATTATCAATATGAGATTTGCAACTTACATTTGTTGTGTTCATACTTTTTTGATAGAATGTTTCTTTAATACTGATATTTTTAGGTTTACTTCCTTACTAATATAAACGTATATCTACTATTTAGGAAGTTTCTAATTGAAAATCATGCTTGTTTGTTAAGCCTCTTGAAGATGGCAGGAAGACTACAAATATTATTTTGGAGGCATTGGAGTGCACGGGACAAAGGGGTATAATTGATCGGGGTTGGGGAGATCTTGGGATCTGTAAGTGCCCTTAATTTCAATGTTCTTATTACTTTTCCTAAAAAAAGTTCTTATTACTTTTGATGGGCCTCTTGCTCTCTGTGTGCTCTATGTAAGAATACATTATTTATATCAGTTGCTGGTTATTTTTTGGCCTTTCTTGGCATTGACACTTATTTTAGGCAGTTACTTGCCCTTCTACCCATTATTAGTTCTGTTGATTGGTTTTAGAACATAAGCTTGCTTCTGTCTTAGATGGTTAGACTGTAAATTCTGCTTGAATTAAGGTTTACTTGATTGCACATTATTCTGTTTTAATTTTACCATGCAGTTCATGTCCTTGTGTTCTGACTTCCACAACTTTCCCTTGTTTTCTCCATAAAATTATTATAGAGCTCACATTGATTTTCATGTGATATCTCTTTTTTATCTTTACTATATGTTTCTACTGTAGCTACAGTAGTCCGAACCAGTAAGGAGAAGAAGAAAGAGAAGGAGAAGAAGAAGAAGAAGAGAAGAAGAAGAAGATGAAAGAACTGTCGAACCTGATAGCTAAACCCTATCAGTCGACCTCTTAATAGTGATTAGGCTTCTAATTAAATGTACAAGGACTAAACTGCCCCTACTTAAGTATGG